TTGTCATTTTAAATCCCCCCCTGTGGGCTGGTTAAGTGTTAGATTTACAAAAATTATATACCAAATGATAGGTAAAGACATCAAGCATCTACAAAAAAAATTATATTGATATGTTCATTTTTGAAAAAGTTACGGCAGTTTTTAGTAAAAAAAATTGAAAAAATTTCGAAAATGAACGATTTTTAAATTTGTAATTTTTTTGGAGGTTTCACCCATTTACGGGGAACGAGGTAAATTTTTTCAATTTTTGAGGATAATGTCTTCGACTAGATACGATTTGTGATCTTTTGACGTATCGTTGAAAGAAATCCGTTCGATGAGAGCTGAGAAAAAGTGGTAACAGACACAAAAAAAAACACATCATAGTAAAACCAATACCTTCTCAGCTTCGCATCGAAGCTTAAACTTCATTAGTACCCAATAATGTATGTCATGTACAGAATATACAAAAAGTATTAAATTAAATTAATTTTTGAATTAGTAAATTAAAGAAATGTCGAGAAAAAAAAATTTGGCATAGTTGATACAAGTATAAATGACACCTTATAGTGATTAAAATCACTATTATAATAAATGTTTCGATTCATATCTATAGATAGAGTTTAATTTTTAGAAGGAATTATTGAATAATTTTAAAAGTAATATGAACTATTATTTCCTTATTTATATCCTGATTATACAGTTATTAAATAACAGTTTTAAAAACAATATTATTAGGGTAAGTTTTATAATGTAAAAATATTATTTATTTATATGAATAAACACTTATTATTGTAATTTAAGTTACTATAAAATTGATATTAAATAATTTAGTGTTGTAAATTTTATGGAGACATTATTAAAAATTAATAAAATAAAATAAAATAAAAATAAGAAATTTTTTTTTTGGTATTTTTTAATTCATCCCTTATTTCTTATAAAGGTGTTAAATTTATTATTTTAAAAGACAACAAACATATTTAACTAGCTAATTAAATGAAAAGTGACACGCTTACTTCCATTTTTGCGTATAAAACTCTTTTATTTATCTTTCCGATAATTCGGAGGTCTTTGAATTGAAAAGGACATGGGTCATTATTGAACGTTACTAAACATTTTGTAATTAAAACACTAAGTAAGTAAATTCACATTAACCCAATTATTTAGAATTAATAATTTGAGTAAATAACGGCAAAGCAATAGATTGATTTAAAAATAATTTAATTTAATTATTAATAACTAGTTAATGCTTGGTCATATACTTTGACTGGGTGTCAGAAAGGAGTCCACCACCATTTTAAGAATACCTTAATATTCCTACTAAAGCACATACCAGTTATTTTAACGCTTTGATTGGGTGTCAGATAGGAGGTCAAAACTCCAGCCACTACAAGAATACCTCAGCGTCTAATACCTCTATAAGAAGAATTTTTTTCATTTTATTTGTATCAACTTGTCTTTATTGATCTAAATCCTAGAACTCTACAATTCCATATTTTTTATTACTACAAAAGTAATTCGTAATGATAAGAATAACATAAACCGAACTTCACCTGCACTCTATATTTTAAAAAAGTTATTACTTCCGAAATAAGAAATCTAAAGTTGTCATTTACCAGTTAATTTCTTAATTAGATCATGTTTGATTATAAGCTAGTTAAATATGTATGTTGCTATTCGTTAATATCAGGGGCGAGAAACAATATCGCGCTTACTCAGAGATTAATAAGGAAAGGATTTTTAGTATATTTAAATTTAATTCGAAGGAAGACTATGGTCGTTAGATCAGATAAAATTATTTATTCTTTATGCAGCAACAATAATAAGTAATGTATAAAATGCCAAAAATTCAAACGTCATCTGTGTGACTTAAATAATTAAAATTATTCATCAAAACATAACACTTATATAATACAATGCAATATGAACTATGCCAAGGTGTGGCCAGCTAAATAAACACGAACTTGAAAAAACTTTTACATTAAAAACGTGAACAAAATTTTACTAACTCATACAAGCGAAACACTTAACCTAATACTTATTATAATACAAAATATATTATATTACTCACATGTCTCACATGATAACTGGCCGATGCCTTCCAACGATCGTGAGAGGAAGGTAAGGGGAGTTGACGGACAACCGATTAAGGGTACGCTATTATAGATTCGCGGGTGGTGCGAACACTATTAAACAAATAATATTGACACCCTTATGAGTAGAGGTGAGAATTTTATTCTTTTGCGTATTTTTTTGAGTATATGCAATTAAACGGGGGTTCGAAATCTTTAAGAAATGTAGAACGTACTAATAAATGGTTTATATATATATTTTTGAATATTTTTAGCTAAAAGAATATACCGTATTGCTAATTTGGATGTTGCTACCGCTACTGTGTTATTGCTTCTAATATTGTTGTTGTTGCCGCTACTGTGCTGTTGCTGCTCTTATTATTATTATCACCACCATTGTGCTATTGCTGCTGCTATTGTTGTTGGCGTTACTTTGTTGTTAAAAACGATGTCTTCTCCATGTTTGATGCTAAGGGTGGTGGTGTCAGCCTCTGTTCTCGGGCTGGCCTAGTAAAGTGAGTGATGTGTTTTCAATGAGCGTTGTGCGTCCCACCGTGTCATTAAAGCCGTACCGCAGTTTTTCACTATCTGTGATGATAGTTCGCGCGTGTGTGGGTCGCCTGCCATTACTAGTGTTGATAGATTTACCCAATCGGGTAGCGTGTGTCGAGTACTCGCTTTCCAACAAATTGTAGTGCGTCCCGTTGCGCCTAAGTGAATTGTACCTGCAGCGTAGTCCCAGGAGTACGTCACAGTACAGATTCTCTAAGATAACAGCCGTGAACTTTACTTGTAGATCCGCAATTTTTCTTATAAAGGTAGCTGTGCCGGCCGTGTCTGTTGTGTGACCGTCAGCTAACCTAACTGGGGGTGATTGTCCGTTGTGCACAATTCCAAATTAGTGAGCTGTTGCTCGAGTGGTATACGATTTTTGCGCTTGAGAGTCAAGTAAGGCCGTCACAAAGCCGTCGTCAAATTCCAGCTCCACAACGGCAGTAGTAATTTTACGCGGACGTGTTTGTGCGGCAGTACTCAGGTGGTTAACGGTTCGAACGGGGAGCGTTGAAACGGTTTGTTCGCCAGCAGTATTAATTGCCATAAGCGGGTAGGCCGTTCCTGCCGTATTCCCCTTTCCCACGGTGACCAACGATATGTTGGCCCGACTCGCGCTGTAGTCGTTATCTATTACGTCTACGATCGTATGACAATTATTTTGAATAACCTTGTTGTCCTCATTGTGGATAAGGGGTGTGGCGGTGGTGAGTTGTGGTGCTATAGCGTGACCACTATGATGACAGTGGGGCTGTAGGGGTGATGGTGATGATAGATGTGATAGATTTGATGTGCACGTTGTGTGGTTGTTGTTAAGGTTATTTAAACTATTGCCACTGTGATCGGCCGATCCTGTCCAATGACCGAAAGATAAAAGGGAAGCGAGTGAACGTCAATCGAGTAACCGCGTGCTACAATCGAGTTCACGTGCGCCGCGAACAATTATTGCAATCTATTTTAGCATTAAATTATAAAAAATTTCTCTTTTTAAATTAAAATGAAATGATTGTTAGTCACAGAACGTCTTTAGCAAAGATCTAGTAGACCAGATGTTACAAACATCGTTGATTATATTATATCGTGTGACAGCTGATCTCCAGCGTCTTGTTTTACTCACCCCCTTCATCACGGCAAATCGATGACCTCAGTGTCGGTTTTTATCCGTGTACATTTCATTGTCGTAAGTCAGTCAATAAATTTGTTTTTTGTGTCACTTTTTTTCTGTTGCAAGTGCCTTCGCTTGAATAGTAAATTGTTCAGCCGTTGTACGCCGTTATTCTTTTATTTGTTTATTGCACCCTTGTGCTCAGTTTTCATGATCTTGCACGCCACTAGTGATTGGGCCCTGACCATCACTAAATATCTTCATTGCCGTAGTCTGTTCTCATCTGCCATTACGTGCCTGGATCTGCACTCTGACAGTTCACTCATCACTATCAACAACTTCATCTATTCAGATGAGTTTAATATTATTTATTGTTTGTTTTAATTAAGATTACCTATTTTGTTTTCTGCTGCTCGCCGGCCATTAGTATTTAAGGACCTCCCGTTACCCCTTAAATTTAAGATACTCTCTGATGAATTTCTAATATATGTGATTATTTGTTATTTAATTATTGTCTTCTCTCGTTACTTATTCGATGTACAGTTAGCCGTCATCCCCCAGGTGACCCATTCCCGCTTCAATAATAGCGATTTAAACAGGCTTAAGGTAAAATGGCATTCTAGCGCGGTGCACAACTAGCCGTCCTAAGGTCTAGCTGCCTCGTACAAAACAATGATATAAGGAGTCTTTAATATATAATGAGAATTGATCACTGTGGTTAATATTAATTAAAATTAATAATATATTTTAATTTTAAATAAGTCCTTAATATATTAAAAATATAATAATACACATTTAAAAAAATTACTAGTATTTTTAGCTATAAGCTCTATGGCACTCGCGAGCTAGAGCTCCTTATTTCACGTGTACACGCTTTCACGTATTCACGTGAAATAAAGGTTCGATTTATAAGACCCGTTGCTTAAAATTTTCCGTGAATTTATGATATTAATCACGTGTATCCGTGAATTATTATATTCACGTGTATCTGTGAATTATTATATTCACGTATAACCGTAAATTTGTGTTAAGCCTTAACTTAGTTGTCTATTTTTTTCCTAGGAAGAAAATAATTATTTATATCATTTTACTTAAGTTAATTAAAAAACTAATTATGTTCAATAATCAATAATAATAATTAATGTTTTATTCAGAAAAACCTAACCTATAGAGTGACATAAAATAATTTTGTATAAATAAACAATAATATTATAACAAATTATAATAAATAAACAAAAATTAATAAACAAAATAATTCAACACCTAAATAACTTTAATAACATAAAATATTATTAAACTAATAATTTTCTATTTTGGTACAAAAATGTCAGCATATTTACATTTTTTGCCAACAAACAAGTCCTTTTTGAAGTTACTATATTTCCAGCAGTAGAAAAGCATCTCTCAGAGCTTACTGATGTGGCAGGAATAGCGAGATATTCCTTGGCTAATGCTGCAAGATTTGGGTATTTGATTTCCCTTGATTTCCACCACTCATATGGATTTAAATCAAAACGTAATTGAGGTTCCGCTGTATAAATTTGAAACTGAGTCGTTAAATTATCGTTTTTAATTATTGTATTTCCATATAAAAATTGAAGATCGCTGCTTTGAGCTAGTGGATTTTGTTCCATATTGAATTCAATGTTTTGCATGCTACTGTTAAATTTTTCTAGCAAACTCTTTACAGCCTTACGAATTTTTTCTCTCGTAGCAATTGGTTCAAACTCTAATTCTTTATAACGAGGATCTAGAAAAGATGCAATTTGTCGGACAGAGACAGAATTCGTTTCACTACAGTCAAGTTTGAATCGTTCTTTAATTTCAAATATTATTGTAGATTTAAATTCAGTGATATATTGATCATCAGTTTCATAATGCTTTAAATGGTGATCCAATAATTTTGATAGTAATGGTCTTACCATTGACACTGGAGAATAGTTCTCGGAGCAAAATAAATTTGTAATAACATATAATGGTTTGAGGAGATTTACAAGATTTTCTATTCTTAACCATTGAGATTCAGTTATTTCTAATTTTTGTGCAATGAATAAAGATGTGATTGCTCTGTCTGCCAAAACATTTGAAATTGGACTCCTGTTTTTTGAAAGACGGTCTAACATTAAATATATTGAGTTCCATCGTGTCTTACAACATTGCACTAATGATTGGTGCGGAAGTCCTAGCTGTTCTTGTTTGTTTAGTAATGACTGTTTGGCTACATTCGAGTGTTTAAAATGTCCAACTAAATTAGTACACTGTTTTTCCGAAAATATTTCTTGTTTTAATACAATATTAATAGCTAATTGCAAATTATGAGCTGCACATGTCACATCCATGTTTTCATTGTCTATTGTAATAGGTAATAACTGTACAGCATTTACTATGTTTTTTGCGTTATCTGTAATTACAGTAGTTACTTTACCATTAATTTCCCAATCGTCAAATATACATATTAATTTTTCCGCAAGATTTACTGCTGTATAACGTTCGGTCATCTCTTTTGTGGCTAAAGTAAATGACTTTGATAGCCACTGGTTATCAATTATGTGAGCTGTTAAAGAGATATATGAGTTTTGAGCCATTGAAGACCAACCATCAGTGGTGCAAACTACTCTTTTCACATTTTGCAATTCATTTTTTATTTTGTCCTCAACATTTGATTTCAATGCATGTAGTCTTTTTTTCATTGCTTGATCACTACATATTTTATAATTGGGCTCCACAACAGCCATGAACTTAAAAAACCCAGGACTCGAGCAAAATGATAAAGGCAACTGATTCATTGCAATTAATGAAGCTAGTGCTTGGTGAATTTTTTCCGTTTTTTCATAATTACATTCACGATCACTATCAGACCCACATTTATTAGAAATACGACAACGTTTTCTAGATTTTGAACTTGAGGAAGATTTAATATTGTTATTAACAAGAATTGTATCATCATCTTGATTGATAGAACTTCCAGAACTGCCTGACCTTATAATTTCTTCGGAAACATTTGATGTATGTTTAGATTCCAAACTAGACCTACAAAGTACAAACTGTACAATTTTAACGCTATACAATTAAAATGTATGTTATTTGTTTGTAAAATTTTTAAAATAAAATTAACGACTTTATTTTTATAGCATCTACGTGCTATAAATTATAATTACGTAAATAAATTATATTTTTTTATTTGGGTTATTAAAATCAAATAATTGTTAGATCACTGAAGTACCCATACGACATTGTAATGAAGTTGTAAATTTTATTTTAAATATTTTAATATAACTAATAAATATCATACACGTTTAATTATGTAATAGAATAAAAAACATAATTTATTATTACCTCTTTTCTGTGGATTCTTTTGGTGGTTTAACTTGATGTATATTTTGCAAATGTCTCATTATAGAACCAGTAGTTCCACCGACACAGGAGTATTAGTTTTGATTGTCATCACATAAATCACAAAAGGCGCGATCTCCTTCTCGCTTAGCATAGTCCCACACCCAACTTTTTCTTTTACCCATTTTTTAGTAAAACTTGTTCACTTAATGTGATTACATGCAAACCTAACGATTGACTGTTAAACCAACTTAAATTATGGGTTCAAATTCTACACATAATATTTAATCTTTTATAATAAAAACTGTGGTATAAGATGACAATAGATCGGTTTTACAAAAATACCTGTTATTTTATCTTTCATAAATAAATGTTTGTTGTCAATGATTCCTCATTATATTAATCCAACCGTCGTGTATACGTCACCTTATGATACCTTTTTCACATATTGTACAACCTGTGTAATCGTGTATATTCATTTTGTTAGCTAATGTTCGTGTTTAACTTTAAATTTAACTTAAAAACTTACAAATCTGTTATACCAGAAAAATAAATGAACAAGTAGTCCTTAACAATATACATTTTCAGTTGATATCAATTAAAATTATTCACGTGATTAACGAATTCACGTATTCACGTGATTATGACTCTGATACGTGTTCACGTATTTTAGCTTCTACTAATTCACGTATATTAATCATACGTGTTTTATTTTGTTATACTCTCGTATTCACGATACCCGTGTACACGTATGTTTGTATTCACGTAAAAACATTAGAGCTCTATTGCGAGCCAGTAGTTTTTTGTATTCGTTTTGTTGTAATAGTAAAATATCACCTTTGCGATTGTCGCAGTCTTGTACGCTCAGTATATCGCCGTTGGGTCTATATATTTTCTGAGATACATCACAATACCATTCACAGCATATTGTACATGTTGGTCAGCTACTTGCATTCGACTTCAATTGATTCTTTCAATATTCAACATTATCATCAGCCGTTTCAATTAGCCGATAAGTATAATGCTTGTTCATCTTCTTTCTAAGACTTACTCACTTTTATAATTTATTATTTGTTTATATCAACACCTTTGTGGCATTAGTATTAAGTGTCCCTATTCACATTGGTGCATATAAGATTATATATTTATTGTATAATACATTTATTTGTTATAATTATATGTTTTAAAATTCATTCTAAATTCACTCATATTGTCCACTCATCTTATTTCTTATCTTCGACATAACCAGACTTAAGATAAAATAAAACCACTTACGTTAACGAACCCGCATGAATTCCACGGGGCACTGCGTTCATTCAAATACTATGTGGTTAAATATATAAGGGTTGGGTTGGGAAATATAATAAAATAATATAAATAAAAATGGGTTTCAGAAAGGTAGTAAACGATGACTGAACATATAAGAGTAATGGTCAAATAAATGATATAAACATAAACGTTTATAACAAAACCCCAGCGGCACAGTGGGGTCGTGGCATAGTTGAGCCAATGAGCAGGTTAAGTGATAGATTTTCAAAAAAATTATATCCAATGAAAGGGAAATATCTAAGGTTTTAGTATAAAAAAAATGATGTTGATTTGTTGATTTTTGAAAAAGTTATGGAAGTTTTAAGAAAAAAAGTGAAAAAAATGACAAAATTTACCGATTTTTAAATTTGTAATTTTTTTGGATATTTCCCCCATTTTCGGGGAACGAGGGAATTTTTTTCAATTTTTAAGGGTAATAGCTTCATCTAGATACGATTTGTGATCTTTTGACGTATTTTTGAAAGAAATTGGTCCAGTGACTGCTGAGAAAAAGTGGCAACAGACATAAAAAAAAAAAAACACATCATAGCAAAATTAATACCTTTTCAGATTCGCATCGAAGCTAAAATATTAAATTGATTTCAGGGATTCTACAATATTGGATAAATGATGTTCAATATTCCTTACAAAATTTTATAATTTATCTTAATGGTTTATTACACAATAGATTGTTTGAGGTTTGAAAGCATTAATAAAACTTGTACTTCACTAACGATATTTTAATTAATCCAGTGTTGATTTTGAATTTCGCACTACGCGTTGTTTAATCAATATGACTGTTTAGAAACACGATTTAATTTTAATTAATACGAGATCGTTATACAAAATATATTTTTATTGTGGTTACTGTTTATTAGATTTCTTTGTGGAAGATTTATTGAATTAATACTGTTGTTATTCAAAAAATGTTATTATCGTTGTGCCAATGAGTAAAATTTTAAATCAGTTGTATAACCAAAAAAAAAAAAAAAAGAGATATATTTTTTTTTATAATTGATCTATATATATTTAGTATTTATTTGTGCCATTGAGGCATTTTTTTAAAAATATTTAATTACCAATATCATTGAAGTTAATTGTTTATTTATTATAGTTCTGTAAAATTGTATTTTATTATCAAATTATTGGTTTTATTATTATTCTTAGTTTTAGTTAAACATCTATTGTTACCTGACCATTTCACTCCCCTGATGAGTGTAGACAAATCCTCCCTATTCAGGGTACTTGCGTTTTGGTCAGAAGACCCTTCCCTTTCCTATTCAAATATACAGTCCACTCATTACCTATAAAGAAATTATAGGTGCCGGGGTTATAGTATTTGCAGCCTCCCGCCCCAACAGCGACTATAACAATTGAACACGTTCCAATGGTCAAAGATAAATGAAACATTATTCAATAAATACCCCAATAAAAGATCTTTTTAAGAACTTTCTTACCTAAAATACATTGTATTTTACACACAAAATTTAAAAGAACAGTAAAAAAAACTCAATGTAACAGAATTATCAAAATTAATTAAAACGTGTTTATCAGTTCGTGTTTAGACGTCGTACAGTCCACACGTTAATTGTCACGCGCTCCGCTTTTATCAGCTCTCGATAGCGTGTGTATTGTATCGAATTGTTATCGCTTCCAGCGCTCGTCGCGGTATTTGTACCGTCGGGTAATGTATAATTGTATAATTTATCTAAATATAAGACTCGCCGCGATCGGGACTAACGCCTTATCGCATTATACGCTTTATTGACCAACACGCGATACCTCACTACGGTCCTAATCAGTGCCGTTACCTATAAAATGCCTAATAATACAAATAATAAAACTGTATCTCCACTCATTATCCAAAAGTCACGCATACAGAGCGTGTCAAATGATTCATCAGCTTTTTCATCAGAAACCAACTCCAACGACGATTGGAAAACTCAAAATAATCATAAACGTCAGTACTCACCTAATCAATCCCCGAAATTAACTAAACAATTCGTAACGCCAAATCGCTTTTCTCTATTCAGTCCACCAAACAATGATCAAAACAATGACTATTCTGAAAACAAAGATAACGACCCTAATAGAGACATTCTAGAACACTCAGAGAGTAAACCTCCTCCACCAATCTTTATTAATTTAGTAAATGACTTCAAATCATTTTGCTCTCAAATTAAATTATTAACAAAAGGCGAACCATTCACTTGTAAGAGCTCCACCAATGGAGTTAAACTCCTAACTACATCACCAAACTCGTACAGAGAAGTAATAAAATTTCTAAAATCCAGCAAAGCGGACTATCATACTTATCAATCAAAACAAGATCGAGCCTTTAGAATTGTTATCAGAAACCTACATCACACAATCCCTCTTGATGATATCAAAAAAGAGTTACTTGATCTCGGTCACATCGCTAGAAACGTAACAAACGTTCTACAATATAACACTAAGGTCCCGCTCCCATTATTCTTCGTAGATCTAGAACCAGCCATAAACAATAAAGATATCTTCAAAATCGAATTCCTATGCTACACTAAAATTAAAATAGAAGAACCTCGAGTTAAACGCCACATAGTCCAATGCCTTCGATGCCAAGAATACGGCCACACAAAAGCTTACTGCAATCATACACCCAAATGCGTTCGATGTGGCGAACATCACCTATCAGATTCCTGCCAAAAACCCACCGACCAACCCGCCAAGTGTGCGCTTTGTCAGGGTAACCACCCAGCAAACTATCGAGGCTGTCCCAAACATAAAGAAATTCAATCATCTCGTAATCCCAAGAAAACTCAAACAATTTCACATTCTCAACAAAATAATACAAATAATGTACAGCCCATTTATGTAAACACCACTTCAAATTCGTATTCTCAATCCAAATCATATGCTCAAGCAACCAAAGATCCGAATATCACTCCCCA